GGGATGGATCCCTGTGCCAGGGCAGGACAGGGGGGTGCCAGAGATGGATCTCTGTGCCGGGCCAGGGGCCGGGGGCCGGGCTGGGGCTGTCCCGCAGTGACATTCCGCCCGGCAGTGCTGCAGCACGTCCATCCCGGGGCAGCCCAAGGTCCCCCAGCTGTCGCTGTCACTGATCCGTGCCGGTGGGCAGCTCTCTCTGCTCTCTCTGGTGGCACTGACCAACGCCCAGCCCGGCCACCAAGCCGCGCTCAGCCCCGAGCCCGGAGCGCAGCGCGGCTCCCGGCGCTCCCCGCAGCCCGAGCCTGCCCTCAGCGGGTGCTGCAGCCCCGGTCCAGCCCCGAGGGCTGCCCCGGGGGCATCCCCAGCACGGCCCGGGGGCCTCAGTCCCAGCCCGCCCGCGTGTGCCGGGGCTAACTCGTGGCTAAATCCAGCTTAAATAGCGTAAAATGCACCCCAGTTTTAAGGCTGTTGAGGTGAACACTCAGCCCAGGTGCTGCGGAAGCCGGGCTGGTGCCTCTCGCTGGGGCAGCAGCGGCTCAGCCCCGGGGCACCGCAGCAGCGTGTCCCCGTGCCCCGGCCACGCTCTGTGCCCTCCCCGCAGGGAATAGAGGAGAGTCCCCGGCGCGGTGTCTCCAGCAGGACCCGGAGCAGCCCGAGGCAGGGACAGGAGCCGGACATGCCCGAGCCAGCCCCGCTCGGCGGGGACAGGAAAGCGGCGGAGAAGAAGCGGGGGGAGAAGGTGGGAGCCAAGGGCAGCGCTGCCGGGCCGCCAGGTGGGTGTGTGGGGAGCCCTTCCCTGCCCCAGAATGGTCACCTGGCCCCAGGTGGCCACAGAGGCACAATCCCGTGTGTCCGGGAGGCGCTGTCTGGCCATGGAGCAGTGACAGGAGGAGCTGGGGGGAAATCAGGGACACGGGGATGGAGATGGGGCTCCTCAGCCGCCTGCCAGATCCTCCATCTCCTCCTCCTCCTCCTCCTCCTCCTCCTCCTCCTCCTCCTCCTCCTCTCCACCCTGCTCAGATTAGCTGCTGGAGGAGGAGCACGGGCAGCGCTTTTCCCAGCTTGATCGCCAGGATACTCTAATGCCACCATGGCCCAAACCCGGAACACTCTTGTCCCCACTCCTGCAGTGCAAAACGTGGCAGGAGCAGCTCCTGCCCCTGCCCTTGTCCCTGTCCCTGTTCCTGACCCTGCCCCTACCCCCATCCCCGTCCCTGTCCCCGTCCCTGTCCCCGTCCGTGCCCCTGTCCCTGTCCCTGTCCCTGTCCCTGTCCCTGTCCCCTGTCCCTGTCCTGTCCCTGTCCTGAGTGGGCGGTGCAGGAGGATGTTAAGAGCTCTTCCCACCCCCCAGCTCAGAGCCCTTTGCCTCTTCCCAGTTCCCTCCAGTAACATTTTTCCCTGGGGGTCCCAGTCCCCAGGACCCTCCCGGTGCAGAGCAAGGTGGAGCCGCCCAGCCTGGACCCTGCGGAGGAGCCGCTGCTCTGGGAAGGGCTCACCCTCAACAAGTGCATCCTGGTGGCCTCCGTGGTCGCCCTGCTCAGCGTCACCTTCCAGGTGCTCCAAGGTGAGTCGGGAGGCGGACGGAGCGGGAAGGGGAGGCCAGACCGCGCTGCCAGCCCCTGGCTCCTGTCCCCTCCTCTCTTGCAGCTCCATGCTCCAAGGAGGGACTGGCCCGCGGCCGGCAGGAGCCTCCGCCCCCTCCCGTTCCCGGTGGGTCCGACCCTCCCCGATCCCCCGGGCCCAGCCTGCGACAGAGCCACATCCCAGGCTGGGGTGGCCCTGGGAGCCCCCGGCTGGGATATGCCACAGCTGACAGTGGCCTGTCCCTGTCCCTGTCCCCTCCCAGAGGCTGTGAGCCCCAAGGCGGAGATCCCAGAGGCGGTGACCGCCCAGGCTGAGCCGCCACCGGAGAGCAGCGCGGTGGAGGATGATGGTGATGATGAAGACGGTGACGATTACGATGACAGCGAAGCTGACAGCAACCTGGTACGGGTCAGGGTGGCACCTCCCGGGGCAGGGAGCATCTTGTCCCCAGGGCAGGGCTGGACAGGGGTCCCAGTCCCCTGGGCTGCACCATCAGCTCCCGGTCCCCTCTGTCCCCACAGGCAGAACCCTGGATCTTCAAGAAGTGGTTTGGCCGCGCAACACCAGAGGATGAGGACAAGGATGAGGACAAGAATGGGGACAAGGATGAGGACAAGGATGAGGACAAGGATGAGGATAAGGATGAGGATGAGGATGAGGACAAGGATGAAGAACCTGCAGCTGTCCTCGAGGTGCCAGTGGCTGTGATGGAGGGGAAGAAGAGCCAGGAGAAGAAAGTGGAGAAGGAGGAGGAGGAAGAGGAAGAAAAAGAGGAGAAGGAGAAAGAAAAAGAGGAGAATGAGGAGGAGGAGGAGAATGAGAAGAAGGAGGAGGAAGCGGAGGAGGAGAAGGAGGAGAAGAAGAAGGAGGGGAAGAAGGAGAAAGCCCGGGAAGGCCGTGCTGTCCATGTGGAGCGGAGCAGCCGGAGGGAGGCACGAGCCAAGGACAGGACAGCGGGGGACAAACCTGGCAGAGCCCCCAGGGCCCCCAGGGAAGCCGAGCAGCAGCCCCAGAAGAAGCGAGACCGGGAGAGGAAGGAGAGGAAGGAGAGACGGCGGGAGAGGGATGAGTCCAGGAGGGACGGGTGGAGGGGCCGTCCCGGCAGGGCTGAGGGTGGCCGGGAGAGCCCGAGGGAGAGCCCGAGGCGGGACTGGAAGCAGCAGAAGGGCAGGAGGCCCTGGGAGCCGGCGCCGGGCAGGGACGGCAGGGCCAGGGAGGGCAAGAGGCGCGACTGAGGCCGGGGTGGGCGTGGGGCTCGATGGCGCTGGATCCAGGGGGATCCAATCCCACCACTGCCCCCGGCAAGGGACCCCCGGCCCTGCCTGCTCTCCAGAGACACCCCTGGGCACGGGCAGCACACCAGGACCCCTGAGCAGCAGCAGAGCAGCCCAGGAGCCTGGCATGAGCCTCCCTGGGGACTTTGGGCCCCCCTGGATCAAAGGCGACCTGAAAGGACTCATGGAAGGAGCTTCTTCGGGACTCCTTACTTCTCCATCCCCACCCAAAACCCCTCTGCAGCTCTCCTCCACTCGTGGTTCCAGGGTGAACAGAGTTGTGTCCAGACTGTGCAGCTCTTGGTTAATGGTTTTATTGAAAGCAAATCAGGAGAGAAGAATATTCTGGGTTACGGAAGCAGGCTGCAGCCTCCTCCGAGGGACACCAGGGACAGACCCCTGACCTCACCCAGCCCAGTGCCATCGCTGCGGGGTGGCCCAGAAGGTGACAGAGCAGGGCTGGAGCCCTTCACCCGGGGATCCCTGCGGGCCTCGCCTTCTCCGAGTCGCTTTTAGGAAGGAAACACAAGAGCAATATCACACAGCCAGAGTTCACAGCCCCGACCCATGGCAGGTTTCAGTGTTTGCTAAATCAACAGCGGTTAAAATAAACTATTTTCATTTTTAATAAGGTATTCAACTGAATGCTTTTTAAAAATAGTGGGGGAAAAGGAAAATGAGAAAAGCCCTTGTCCCTGGTTATGTGTTTTGTCCCTTGTTATGTGTGTGTGTGGTTTCAGGGTTAATCCTGCAGGGCTGTGAGATGGGACTGGTGGGTACCAGCCTCCAGCCGTGCCTCCCGTGGGGACACTGCAAAACCCGAGGAGGTGTAGGCAGGACAAGCCCAGGAGCTGCTCCCAAGGGCTTGGCTCCCCGCTGAGGGCCGGGCTCAGCTGGAAGATGATCTGGGGCAGGCGGCCGGAGCTGACGCCGGCGGGGACGTGGAGCAGGTGCTCTGGCAGCCGGTTGCTCCCGCTCCCATTAATGGTGTGAGCAGCCCGGGAGGTGTAACGGGATCGCTCCCTCCCCTGGCGGGGTCAGCGCGGGGTGACGCAGATGTGACCTGGCCGGGAGCCCCAGAACACGGCCAGCGGCTCCTCACAGCCACAGCTCACACAGAGACGTGTCCCCAGGGCAAGGCTGGTCTCTGCGAGGGGATTTGGCCTCTTGCTCTGCTGTCACAGGGGGTCCCCGTGATGGGCCGTGGGCTGAATGGCCAGAGGATGCTGCAAGGCTTGGAGGAAGCAGCAGCTGCCCTTCCCAGCCACTACAGGAGCAGAGAGTGAGCGATAAATAAGAATGGTCCTGCCTGGATCTGCCAAGTTTTGTCCTCGACCCACGGCCCTGCCGTGCCCGTACCCAGCCGAGTCAGAGCCCGTGGGCACCTCGGGCACCCTCAGCAGCGGCAGGGGCACATCCCCAGTGGAACACGGAGCAGCCCCAGGGACAGGCATGGATGAACCCAGAACCAGAGCGATGCTAACGAGCCAAACCATGGGGAAAGGACACACGGGAGCTCCCGTCTCGGGAGAAGCACCAGATCCCGAGCCGGGAGGGCAAACCGGGAGAGGGGCCGGGGTGGGGCGAGCGGGGAGGCCGGCGGGAGCCTCACCGGCAGCCGCACTCCTCTGCCACCATGTTGGGGAACTTGCGGATCTCCAGCCCGTCCGAGGAGAGGCTGATGATGAGCTGGTCCGAGTAGCGCACGGGCACGCAGCACGGAGCCCTGCGCAGCGGCGAGCCCTGGTCCTGCATGCCCAGCAGCAGCACCGTGTGCGAGAAGTAGCTGGGGATGCGTGCGGAGAGCGGCAGCCGGCAGGGCCCCTCGCAGTTGTTGGCCGCGTACATGGTGGGCATGATGATGAAGTGGCGGTCGCGCAGGTCGATGGTGAGCTCCTGCAGCCGGCAGTGCGCCTGGTGCCGGGCGCTGCGGTTCTGCCGCTGCACCTTCCTGCGCTCCTGCCAGCGCGCCCGCACCGACTGCAGCGCCTTCAGCAGCAGCAGCGTGCGCAGCTTCCGAGAGCCCGGCCCCCGCTCGGCCGCCTCGGCCTGCCCCGGCTCTGCTGGGTAGTAGCAGAAGGTCAGGAGGTGCTGGAAAAGCGCCGCGTTGGCTTGGAAAGCCGGGACGTCCCTGAGCTCCTGGATGACCACCTGCAGTTTGCCCAGCAGCAGCTGCAGCACGGTGCCCTCCGGCTGCCAGTCCCCCAGGTGCTGCTCCAGCACGGCCCCGCTGTCCTGGGGCAGCAGCAGCACCGAGGGCTCCTCCGACTGCACCAACCGCTCCAGCGCCGCCTCCTCCGACAGGTTGAGCAGCTGGTGAGGGAGGTTCTCCATCACCTCGAAGTCCAGCCAGTGGTGGGCACTGGGCTGGGGTGGCGGCTCGCTGGAGGAGCTCAGGAGCTGCCGGATGAACCGGGTCAGGGTTGCCAGGAACTGGGCGCTGCCACCGGGCGCTGGGGACGAGGTGTTGCCGTGGCTCGGGGCAGTGGGGGTCGGCAGCTCCTCGGTGCCAGCCTGGGGTGGGCTGCAAGGAGAACACAGGGAGAGTCACGGGGCCCCCGTGTAGCCCGGGGGTCCCACCAGGCTGTGCCCTACAGCCATCCATGGTCCCACAGCTGGGGCTGTCCCTCTCCCACTTCATCTCCCAACCCCTGTGTTTTCCCGTGCCCGCAGTGAAGGCCACGGACCTGAGCTGTGGGTACGGAGCCGTGTCCACCACCCCCTCAGCAGAGAGGTAGGAGGATGGGGCCAAAGCCTCCTCTTCCTCCTCCTGCTGCCGTGACTTTGCCAGCAGCAGCAGCACCGGGGTCATCCGGGTGAAACATTTGTCATCGGAGCCGAACAGGAGCTGCTGCACCTCCGTGCGGGGCAGGGGGGCACCTGCTGCGGCCACGAGAGGGGAGAACGTCGGTCTGGGGTTTCCAGCATGTCCCCAGCACCTCCTGTGGGCCCAAGCGAGGACACGAGGGCAGGGATGCTGCTGTCCCCAGGGCGTCCCCCCGTTCCTACCTCCCGCTCCGCCGTGGATGGCGAGGGAAGCCGAGAAGCGGAGCCGCTCCGCGCTGCGGGTGACGGAGGCTGCGGCGGCTGCCAGGGCCAGGTACTGCGTGTCCCTGGAGAGGCAGAGCCTCTGCACCGAGGCAGAAACCGCAGAAGCCCCGAGGGCGTGGGTGAGACTTCAGTGGGGGAACACACTCACCTCAGCCCCCGCTGTGGTCCCTGCGGGCTCCGGCTCGCCCAGCCCGCGGTGGCCCAGGGAGCAGCGACAGGGAGGGTGGGGGGCACTGTGAGCTTCGCCCTCAGCCCCAGAGCTGCTCCGGGGGGTGCAGGAAGCCCCGTGAACCCCCGAGGGGCAGGCGGGGGATCCCAGCCCGGTACCCGGGTGGCCCCGCTGGCAGCTGCGGACAGGGTGAGAGCTCCATCTTCAGGCACGGCGGGAGCGGGAGACGGGCGGAGCTGCTGGGAGGGGACGGCAGAGGGACCGGGAGGGGTGACAAAGGGGCTGGGAGGGGATGCTGAATGGATGGGGAGGCGATGCTGAATGGACTGGGAGGGGATTGTGAATGGACTGGGGGGAAGGATGAATGAATTGGGAACGGATAGCAAAGGGAGCTGTTGAGTGGACTGGGAGGGATGACAGTGGCACTGGGCAGCAGAGCCGGGACACCCCTCCCGCCCCCTGCGCCCACCGAGGCCCGGACCCACCTGGTCCCGCGCCAGCCCCGGGCCGGTGGCCAGCAGCTCCTGCGGGGGCCCGGAGCCCCGGCCCTCCCGGCGGCCCAGGTAGAACAGCATCACGGCCGCCTGCAGCTCTCCCACAGCCCGTCCCACCTCCGCCTGGAAAACCAGCTGGAACCGCAGCTTCACCTGCGCCTCCCACTGCACTGGAACGGGGGAGACACGGCCGTGAATCCCCTCGGGCGCCGCGGGGCTCCGGGGGGTGAGGAAGGGGCTTCGGGCGAGCCCTGTGCCCGTGAAGGGACCAGAGCACCGGGACAGGAGCAAATGGGGAGAAGCGACGCAGCAAAGCCCCGGTTCCAGGGAGATGGAGAGCGGGACACACCCTGCACCCGGCGAGCTGCCTCCCCCCGGCCCCATGGGAATCTGCTCTCCAGGGGCTCGGGGACGTCGTGGCCGCTGCCCGGGGAAGCGCCACTTCCCCGCCGGCCGGCACTGCTGAGTCCAGCTGAAAACCCAAACCGCGGAGAGGCGGAGGATTTCAGTTCGAAAGAAGCAATCACCGTCCTCTCGTTATGGATTCAATTGGAGAGTGTAACTCCCTCTCCAGAACCGGGATCGCCCCCGGGATGGACAGGGGAATGCGTGGTGAGGTTTTCCCATAAGGCTGAAGCTACAGGAGCAGCCCAGGACCCGGGGCTGTTCCACAGCCCTGAGTGGAGATCAGCACCTGCCGGGCTCCCGGCACAGCGGCAGCAGCTGGGTCCGAGCCCCTCCTTCCTCCCCAGAGCTGGGATGGGACCCAAACCCATCTGCCGTGTGAAGGCAGGAAGTGAGAAACACTGATGAGAACAGAGCAGAAGCCACCAAGAATCACAGAAATGTCCTGAGCTGGAAGGGAGCCTCAAGAATCACCAGCCCTGCACAGACACCCCAACAATCCCACCCAGTGCACCCTGAGAGCGTTGCCCAACGCTGCTGGAATGTGGCACCTGGGGGTTGGTCAGAGGTGGGGACAGATGGCAGAGCCACGCTGCCATCCTCACCTCCTTAAAAACATGCCCAGAAACACTTCACTCCATCACTTCACTGTTTTTAATGGGAAACCCAACCCCCAAATTTAATTCTGTGTTTAAAACCCTGACTTCAGGCCAGCAAACAGCATCACCACCCTGAGCCCTGCATCCTTCCCCTCCCTGTTCCACCTCGGAGCCTGCGGGGCTCTCCCACCAACCTTCCTCCAGGTGCAGGACGAGGAATCTCTCCAGCCCCGGCTCCAGCACGTGCTCGTGGATCCTCTGCAGGGGATGGGGAGCAGCCCCGGCCTCCCCGGGCCGGCACAGCCCGAAGGTGCCGGGCAAATTCCCGTCCCAGCTCCGGCGCCGTCTCAGCAGTTTGATGAAGCTGCTCTCGTAGTGGCTGAGCACACCCACCACCTCCAGCTGCCTCGGGGTGGCCCCGTCCTGCTCCATCCTCACCCTGCACACGGGCCCTTCCAGGCCCCCGAGGGGCCAGGGCTGCGGGCCAGAGCGGGACCAGCCCGGGCCCCCCTCCTCAGCCACCCCCTGCGGGCACTTGGCTCCCGGCTCAGCCTTGGAGAAGAGGCGAGCGGCAGCAGCCCTCCTGGACCTGGGTGTCTCCTGTAGACTTCCATTTCCCACCCTTCTCCCTTCTGCTTCCAGCAGGCTCAGCTCCATCAGGGAATCCCTTCCCTCCTTCCTGGGCAGAGCTGCAGAGGGGAGCAGCAGCACCAGGCACAGCAGGAGCCCCCTGAGAGCGCTCATGGTCCCACCTCAGCTTTCCCTGGAGCAGCTCAGGCATCCCAAGCCCTCGGCAGGAAGAGGGAGGACAGCTCTCCCTTTTAACCACGGGTGGCCTTGAGTGGCCGAGGCACAACAACCTCCCCTGAGCCGCCCTGTCGCGCTGCAGAGGAGGAGGGAGGTGGCAAAGAAACATTTTTTTTGTTCTATTTTTGGGCCTGCAGCTCGTTTTGGAAATGTGCAAAGATCGAAACTGTTGCGCTCGCTCGTAGGGATGCACGGCCTTGACTTTGGATGTTTTCTAAAGGAGGATGAGTGGAATGGGATGGGATCCTCGTGGGGACTGGCACGTACGACCCCATCAGCACCGAAACACCGGGAGGGGAGAGCGAGCCAGAGCAGGAGGAGGGGGACAGGGGCAGATATTAGGTTGAAATAAGTAAATGTATGGAAAGCATTCATTCTTTGGCTGGAAAACCTTCACCCTGCAGCCCACCAGGCTGCCTTGGAATAGGGCTTCATCCTGGGAATGAGAATCACAAGGGGCAGCAGCAGCCTGAGGACTTTGAGCACTCAGAACTTCCCTCAGACAGTCTCACACACACCATTGTAAAGACTTGTCCCTCCATGAGATGCCTGGACTCACTGAACAGCTGGAATTGCCAATGCCATCTGCCTAAACCATCCTGGAAACCCATCCCAAGAGAGTTCCTGATTTTGGCAAGGGGGAAGGTCTCAACAAAAAAAGGTCCAGACCCTTCCATGAGTTTCCAAGTATTTGCAGCCTGGAGCTCAGGATCATCAGAAAAGGATGGAGCACCCAAACTGGACCAGGACATGGACACCACAGCAAGTGCTGGAGGAGCCCGAGGTCACTTCTACAGCAGCTGACAGAGGCCACAGAGCTGCTCCAGGGCTGGAGCCAGGCTGGGAGAGCTGGGGGTGCTCCCCTGGAGAGGAGAAGCTCCAGGGAGAGCTCAGAGCCCCTGGCAGGGCCTGAAGGGGCTCCAGGAGAGCTGGAGAGGGACTGGGGACAAGGCCTGGAGGGACAGGACACAGGGAATGGCTCCCAGTGGCAGAGGGCAGGGCTGGATGGGAGATTGGGCAGGAATTGTTCCCTGGCAGGGTGGGCAGGCCCTGGCACAGGGTGCCCAGAGCAGTTGTGGCTGCCCCTGGATCCCTGGCAGTGCCCAAGGCCAGGCTGGACAGGGCTGGGAGCAGCCTGGGACAGTGGGAGGTGTCCCTGCCGTGGCAGGGGTGGCACAAGATGGGATTTCATGTCCCTCCCAATTAAACCAGTCTGGGATTCTGTGACTGACTGGGACCATCTCAGCCCAGCAGCAGAGAGGAAGGCTTTGATTCCCCCATCAAGGGGGTACAGCTGGAGGGCTCCTGTGGGCCCTCAAACAACCAGAACTGGTCAGGAACCCCAGCCCTAGCCATGCCCTCACCCACTGAGCCCCCCAGGATCCCCCACTGACCCCCCAGTTCAGGGACAGGAACATGGGAAAGGGCAGAGAAATGGCAGAACTGCTGCTGCTTTTTATTGGAACCAAGTGATGGCTGCAAGGAAACATTCAGGATAAACAAACCCAGAGAACTAAAAACTTGCCTGAACAGAGCTGTCAGTGGGAGGAGGGCACACAATAAAATCCTGTGACAGCAGGTGCTATCCCATGGTACTGACACTTAATGAATTATAATAATAAACTAAGATTTAACATCAGTAACAGGAGCCTTTCTGTGTCCCCCCTCAGTGAATGAACAGAGATGAAGGGCTTTGGTTGAATCAAAACTGATTAATGGGGGGTAATTAATGGGACACTCATCAGGCAGCCTGGGGGGGATAGGCAAGCCAGCTGATGGAGACACCCAGTCAGGAGGGGAATGCCTTGAGATTCCCAATCTTTTGCCTGCTATTTGGAGAATTTCCAAAATACAACCAGCCTGGGAATGTTTCCTGTACCTAAAGGGTAAGGAAAGTACAGCACAGGGAGCCAGAGGCCAAGGAGAATCAAAACCCTTTTAATGAACCTACAGAACTCAGTCAGGTTTGCAGACATACAAAAAGGATCTGTTCCGGGATCGGGGGCGAGCTGCAGTTAAAAAGCCACAAATCCCACGGGATGGAGCCCATGAGGGGCTTCAGTTGGAGGGAGGGGGAGGGGGGATGGTGCCCGGCCCCTCCGTGGGGAGCGGCGGCCGCATCATGGGGGGCAGGGGGGCAGGGGGGGGCACCCCGGGCGCTGGGGGCAGCTGGGGGGGCACTGGCGGGGGTGGCACCGGCCCGGAGGGGGGCATGGGGGGCAGGGCCATGCCCCCAGGGGGAGGGGGGGGCATGGAGTCGGGCAGGGGGGGCCGCGGGGGCAGCCCGTTCATCAGGGGAGGGGGCGGCGGCCGCTTGACGGTCGGGGGCCCTGGGGGGAGGTTCGGGGGGGCCGGGGGCTTCTCCATCTTGAAGTGGAATTGGAGGAAGAACTGGGAATGGGAGGAAAGCAGAGAAAAGGGAACAATTAATGAGAGATTGACAGAATCCTGGAGTACCCTGAGCTGGGAGGGACCCTCAGGATCATCAGTGCAGCCCCTGGCTCTGCAGAGACCCCCAACAACCCCACCCTGAGCATCCCTGAGAGCTCCTGCAGCTCTGGCAGCCCTGGGGCTGGGGCCATTCCCTGGGGAGCCCGGGCAGTGCCAGCACCTGGTGACAGCTCTGCCAGCACACAGGAGCTGCTCTCAGCCCCAGAGCACAGCTCAGGCCTCTCCTGTTACCTGCAGATGTCCCAACCCTGGCAGTATCTGTGATTGGCACAGTCCTGCCCCAGATTTTAACTCCTCTGAACTCTGAGGGGTGAGGGGTGACTGGACTCTGAACTGTGAGGGGTGGGAACCCCCCAGGCACTGTCCCCTGGACACAGGGGAGCACCCCCAGCCCCAGGCTCCCTCAGCCAGGCGTGTGCAGGGAACACAGAGCCAGGGAGAGGACATGGTGCTGCACTTTTATCATGGAATCATCAAGATGGGAAAATCCAAACCTAACCCTAAGATCAACAAGTCCAGCCACCAGCCCAGCAGCAACGACACATTCAGCACTAAACCATGCCCACAAATGCCACAACCACTTTTTTGAACATTTCCAGGTGTGTGGTGTGCCCTGGGCAGTCTGTTCCAATGCCTGACAATGTTTCAGTGAAGGAATTTTCCCAATATCCAACCTAAACCTCCTCTGGCACAGCTTGAGGCCGTTCCCCTCTGGTCTTTTCTCCTGTTCCCTGCGAGCAGAGCCCAACTCCCCTCTGGCTGCACCCTCCTGTCAGGGAGTTAGAAGAGCAAGAACGTTCCCCCTGGGCCTCCTTTCCTCTGGGTACTTATGTCCCATCCTGCTGCCAGAAACTGAATCCCCTCCAAGATCCCACACAGGAGGATCTCTGTCAGCTCTCACTGCACAGGTGCATTGAGAGAATGGAGATTTGAACAGCAGAGGCAGCAGGACAGAATTGATGCCACTGTCTCCAGTTGCTCTGCTCTCCTTGAGGACAGACATTACAAAACCTCAGTTACCTGTTTGGTTTCTCTGTTCCAGTGAGTCCAGAACTTTCCCTCTGCTTTATCAATTTCTCTGCTTGGCACCTGCACCAAAGGAGAACACAGAGCTATTCTCAGCAGCACCAGATTAGCTCAAAGGCCCTTTTTAGCCCCAGAGCCTGTGAGATAAGCACAGTTATTCCAGGCCTTGCAGGGCTGTTATTAGACAGAGGTGGAGGCAGGAAAGAATTAAGTTACTTCCCTATCGGTCAAGGACAACCAGCAAAAATCCCTCCCTGAACATCTGCACAGAAGCTGAGGAGTGAAGCCCAGAAGGCTCCTGCCTGTGCCAGACACTGGGAATTCACAGCTCCCCAGAGCTCAGCACAGTCTGGTTTTCATGCCAGAGTCCTCCACCAAACCTCACCGGGGTTTAATGACTTCCAGCCTGACCCCCCTTCCACTCCATTAACCCATGAGGGTAGCGCAGACATCAGAGAGTTCATTAGGATCTAATTACAGAATATCCTGAGCTGGAAGGGACCCACAGGGATCAAATCCATCCCCTGTACCTGCCCAGACCCCACAACAGCCCCACCCTGAGCAGCCCTGAGAGCGCTGTCCAAACGCTCCTGCAGCTCTGGCAGCCTCGGGGCCGGGACCATTCCCTGGGGAGCCTGGGCAGTGCCAGCACCCTCGGGGGGAAGAACCTTTCCCTGAGCTCCATGCCAAGGCCTGGCACAGCTCCAGCCCTCGCTGGGCTCCAGGAGCTGTCCCAGAGCAGAGCTCAGCCCCTGCCCCTCTGCCTCCCCTCGGGAGGAGCTGCAGCCCCCAGGAGCCTCCCCTCATCTCCTGTGCTCCAGCTGAACGAGCCAAGCGCCCTCAGCCGCTCCTCAGACCTTCCCCAGCTCCGTGTCCCTCCTTGGGACACTCTCCAACAGCTTTGGCTCCTTCTGACCTTGTGGTGCCCAAAGTGCCCCCAGCACTGGAGCTGAGGCTGCCCCAGGGCAGAGCAGAGTGGGACAATCCCTCCCTGGCCTGCTGCCCCCAGGACAGGGCGGCCCTTTGGGCTGCCAGGACTCAGCGGTGCCTCAGATCCAACTTGCCACTGACCAGGACCCCCAGGTCCCTTTCTGCATCGCTCTGAGATGAGGCAGATGTGCTGTGATGCATGGAACAGTTGCTGTGCACATCCCAAGGGATGCTCCTTCCTTAGAAGAGCTCAACTTGGGCACCTTGGTCTGGTTCTCTGGATGTCTGCTGATTTCTAGGACATCTGGGTCCTGTTTGGCTTTGGGATTTGCTGCTGAATTTCTTTTTTCCTCAGACCCTTCCCCAGCTCCATGTCTCTTCTTTGGACACTCTCTAATGGCTCGGTATCTTCCTCATATCACAGTGAGCACACATAACATTGATGGTGAAGCAACCCCAGTGCAGAGCAGAGCAGGCACAGTCCCCTCCCCTGACCTGGCAAAGGCAGGAAGGGAACTCTCCCAGATTTCCAGGACTCCTCTCTGTCTTAGGTTGGAAACAGGGGTATCCTGTTCCTATCTGTTAGGGGTGGGGCTGTTCTCTTCTGTTCATTAGGCAGTTTTCTTTATTTCTCCCACGGCCAATCCTCCCTCCAGGAGATCTCTTCTGTTAATGAGCCATTAATTAACTTATGTTCATGGGCCAGTGAGTGTCCCTACATGCCTGATAAAATTCCATCATCCCAGTGGGAGATGCTCCGCCCAGGCGAGGAACCAAACATTCCTACCTGGATCCAATCTGACCTGGGAACAGCACAGCAGCCTTTGCCCCCTGCATTCCCAGAGGAGCAGCTTTCTTCCCACTGCATTCCCAGAGGAGCAGCTTCCTTCCCCCTGCATTCCCAGAGGAGCAGCTTCCTTCCCCTGCATTCCCAGAGGAGCCCAGGCCCATCTCCCCCAGCCCTGGAGCTCCAAGGAAAACTCCCCCCTTGTGCAGGATCCTGCTCCAGCAGAAGCACAGCTGGCACTGCAGGAGGGCTGAGCCCCCCTGGGATGGGGCTGAGCCACCTCCCTGACCCACAGGCCGTGATGGCCTGCTCTGACTCTGGCAGTGGTTTTTTGTTTGTTTGTACTATTACATTTGTATTTTCAGTTTTCCTGTTAAAGAACTGTTATTCCTACTCCCATATCTTTGCCCGAGAGCCCCTTAATTTCAAAATTATAATAATTCAGAGGGAGGAGGTTTGCATTTTCCATTTCAGGGGAGGCTGCTGCCTTCCTTAGCAGACAGCTGTCTGTTCAAACCAAGGCACTGTCCCAGGGGTTTGCCAGGTCTCACCTTGAAGGCGATGGTCTCGTAGGGCTCAGCTGCCATCAGCAGGTACTGCCAGCGCCGGTCCGGGGGCTCGATGCGCTGCTCGTAGGCCGACATGAAGCGGTGCCGGGGCATGATGCTCTCAGCTATCTCTGGGTAATCGATCTGGGGGGGCAGGGCAGCATTAACAACCCCCCCTCTGCACCCCCACCTCTGCTCCAAACACATCCCTCAGTGTGGAGCACACCCAGAGCGATCCACAATACAAAGGAAACAGACAGCGGAGGTAAGGGCTGAGAATCCCAGAATGGTGTGGGATTAAAGACCCCACACTGAAATAGGGGACATTTAGGAGAGATGGGGGAAGGAATTGTTCCCTGGCACGGTGGGGAGGCCCTGGCACAGGCTGTCCAGAGAAGCTGTGGCTGCTCCATCCCTGGAAATGTTCCAGGCCAGGTTAGAGCAACCTGGTCTCATGGAAGGTGTCCCTGCCCATCACAGGGGGTTGGAAATAGATAATTTTTTAAGGTCCCTTCCAGCCCAAACTATCCTGTGATTCTCATTTAAATCCACCTCAGACTCCACATTCCTCTCCTACGACACAGCCTGATAGCTTAGCTCAGAGATTTGCTCAACACAATCAGCTGCAGCAACTAGGAAGATAAGGCCTCATTATTATTATTGATTTCATGGATCCTGCAAAGAAGTGCTCATGTAGCAGCAGTGTTACCTGGAAAACCCTGACAAGGAGAGTTTTAACCCTGCCCTTACCTGGAAGAGAAGGCTCTGCTGGCCTGTTTCTGGGTCCCTCTGTTTGGTCACTGTGAAAAAAAAAATAAGAAAGCTGAGAACATCCCCTGGCAGGATGAGAGCAGCATTAATCTGCCCTGGGAAACACACAAAGTTTCTAAGAATTAAATATTACAAGATTTTTCTCCTATTTATCAAACAAAATGTCATATTATCTTTAACCAAAGCTACTTCTGTGAGGATGAGCAGGCCCTGGCACAGGGTGCCCAGAGCAGCTGTGGGTACCCCTGGATCCCTGGAAGTGTCCAAAGCCAGGCTGGATAGGGCTTGGAGTGAGTTGGGATGGTGGAAGGTGTCCCTGCCATGACAGGGGTGGGGTGGGGTGGGCTTTAAGGTCCCTCCCAACCCAAACCATTCTGGGATTGTGTCACTGCCATGGGCAGGTTTGGGCCCCTCAACCCAAGAATGACACTGAGGGGCTGGAGCGTGTCCAGGGCAGGGGCAGAGCTGGGGAAGGGTCTGGAGCACCAGGAGAGGCTGAGGGAGCTGGGAAGGGGCTGAGCCTGGAGAAAAGGAGGCTCAGGGGGGACCTTGTGGCTCTGCACAGCTCCTGCCAGGAGGGGACAGCCGGGGGGGTCGGGATCTGCTCCAGAGAACAGGGACAGGAGGAGAGGGAACAGCCTCGAACTGTGCCAGATTTAGGTTGGATATTGGGAAAATTCCTTCCCTGAAGGGGCTGGAAAGCATTGGAAGGGGCTGTCCAGGAATCACCATCCCTGGAAGTGTTAAAACACCTGTAGATGTGGCACCTGGGTACATGGTTTAGTTGTGGCCTTGGCAGTGCTAAGTTTACTGTTGGACTCAATGATCTTAAAGGTATTTTCCAACTTAAAGTATTCCATGATTCTCCTCTACTGAAGTTCAGCTGCTGTGGACCAAACCACTGGTGAGATTAAAAACCCAAATTTTCTACTGAAGGCCAAAAAAACAGAAAAAACCCCATGAGCTCTGCATGGAGTGAGTGATTTACAGCATTAATGAAAGTTGCTGCAGCACAAGAGAAGGAGGAGAGATGAAATGCCATCATCTCCCTGGCAGCCTGAGACACACCCATCTATTATTGACGTGGTTCTCCCTGCCTGTCAGCCATAAAGAGATGTTCCATGAGCAATTTAAACAATAAAGACTTCAGGAGAGAGCCCATATCTTATTCATGGGCAGAACTGTGGTATTCACATTGCCTCTGAACAGAGAGAGACTTAGCTCTCTAAGGATTTCTCCTGAGAGAGGCTGTGGGAGAAGCAGAGAAAGAGAATCAAAACAATTCTTATCTCATTTGCTACGCCTGTGTTTATGTACATCTAGAATGTGTTATAGAAATTGTTAAGAAGCTGATTTCTTAATTAAATACTAGTAATACTGTTTTAAATTAATTAACCAATTAGTATACAACTGTGTCAGGACTCAGCAGAGTCACAAGTTTTCTAGTTAGTTAGTAATAGTTCTTATTAGTGTAATACAGTGTTTTAATATAATATAGCATAATAGTATATAATATAGTACAATAAAGTAATTAATTAACCTTCTAATATCATGAAGTTCTACACATCATTCTTCCTGAATTGAGGATCATAGCACCAATTCAGAGCTGATACAGAGCTGCTCAAAAGCCTAATGAATAATTCACATCCCAGCCAGGCAGGCACTGCCCATCAGGGACCCCTGACTCACCCTTGTAGCCTGGGCGCCCAATTTTGACAAATTTCTTCACTTCCACTTTGACCTTCTCTGGGGCAGGCTGGGCAGGGGCTTCCTTGGCTTCCTTGGCAGCTCGTCGGGCCCTGGGGATTAATTTAAAATTTAAGGGTTACCTGCCCTTGTTTCTGAAGGAAAGCCAGGAGCAGTTTGAATCCCTCAGCACAGCATTCCACAGGAATCATGCCAGGAAATCCTATTTCCCTTCCCCAGCTGCATCCATTCTCCCCCCAGCTAAAGGCTGTCACTCAACCATCTGATCCACCCTCATGATGACCTTGAGGCCAGGCTCCACAGATGGATTTGAAAAGACTTGAATTCTTGAAATCAAAATGAAAAAAAAAAAAAAAAAAAAAAAAAAAAAAAAAAAAAAAAAAAAAAAAGAAAAAAAAAAAAGCCAAACCTATAGGTCAAGCAAAGCAAACTGGATTCCTTAATACAAATTTCTCCAAACATGTATTAACAAATCCAGATCACAGAATTTTAGAATCTCCTGAGTTGGAAGGACCCACAGGGATCATCAAATCCAACCCCTGGCCCTGAACAGAGACTCCAGTAATCCCACCTGAGCATCCCTGAGAGGATTGTCCAAATGCTCCTGGAGCTCTGGCAGGCAGAGATCCTCCTAACTAGACTCACACAATTTGCTTTTAAAACTCTCTCTCTCTCTTCATTCAGCAATTTCACAACTGGATTTGAACTTTAGCTTAAAATAGAGATCTTCAGCACCATTTTCCAAGCAGATCCAGGCTGTGCCTCCTGGCTGCATGAGGAACCACAGTAAAATAACAATCAGGCAGAGTGCAATGGAGTTAAAGGACTACAGACACCCAACATCATAATATTAAAGTGCTTCCGTAATGGAGAACAAAGTTATGGTAGAGGATAACTTACAAATTGGTCTGATGCTTCTTCCCCTGGGTATGTGCCAAGTAACTCCCCTGAAATAAAAACCAAGGTAGAAGTTAAATGAATCTGTGACTGAAACATTCCTGTCACAGGAAGATTGCATCACTCCCTGACAAGGGTGTTTTAATCCTCAGCACAGAGGAATCTCACTCCAAAAGTGCAGATTGCTCTCAGCTGCTGAGCTGTCATCATGTCTTGGGTTATAAATGTGTATTTTGTTTCTTATATAAGTGGGGCAGTTATTTTTTGTTATTGGGTAGCTTACTTTATCTCTTCTACAACTAATCTTCCCTCTGGGGAGATATCTCTTGTTAATGGGCCATGGAATCTCACTACATAACTGGTAAAATTACATCATCTCATTGTGAGATGTTCTGCTCAGGGGGAGGAGCTAAGTATTCTTACTTAGATATAATCTGAGATTTAGAACACCAGGAGCAGTCCTTCTCTACCAGATTCTAAGAAGAACAGCTTTCTTTTTTACTAGATTCTCAGAAGAAGACTAAGCTCATCTACACTACTCCTGAACCTTCAGAAGAAAATCACTCTTCAACAAGATCTTGGTGCACACTGTCAGGTTTAACCACCCCTCAGGTCTCCGCAGTCACTGCCCACGTGCTGAAGCTCCTGTTATTCCCAAATTGCTGCTGCTGGGATCAGGACAGGCAGGTGCTCCCCTCACCTCATTGTTGTGGAGCGTCAGGCAAAGCTTGCACTCGTAGGAGCCCAAATGATTTTTCATAAAATAGGGGTCCTGGGAAAAGAATGACAGACGAGTTGTGAGCAAAATCCATTGGCAAAATAAGAGAATAACCAAAATACTGCAGAGTTCTGCACTGGAAGAAAGGTTCTTCCCCCTGAGGGTGCTGGCACTGCCCAGGCTCCCCAGGGAATGGTCCCGGCCCCGAGGCTGCCAGAGCTGCAGGAGCGTTTGGACAGCGCTCTCAGGGCTGCTCAGGGTGGGGCTGTTGGGGGGTCTGTGCAGGGACAGGGGCTGGGCTGATGATCCCTGAGGGTCCCTCCCAGCTCAGGATACCCTAGGATCCTGTAGCTGAGTTCAGATTTTAAATTAACAGCACAAGAGAGGTTTAGGAGGAAACAAGAGAGAACCAACAGCAGCTATGTGTGCAGTGGTGACAGAATTCCCAACTGTAGCAGGAAACACCACAACCCAAACCAGCCCTGGGGAGACTGGAAATAGATGGATACACAAGAGCTGGCACCTCCTTGTCACTCTGTCCTAAATATTCCTTATTCAACCCCCACATGCCCAGAAATAGATGTATTTAAACCCAATCCACACCTCAGCCTGGAAACAAGGAGGCTCTGGGGTGACCATAAAGCCTAAAGGGGCTCCAAGAGAACTGGAGGAATGTCGCCCTGATTCTTAAGATTTTCTAAAGCCTTCTGAGTTTCCATTCTGTTAGAGAACTTTCTCACACAACTTTCTGTAAACAACTTATTGTTCTGCATTCCTTCATAGAGGTGGAGAAACTTGATGTACTAGTAGTTTGTCTAATGTCATTGGAGAGGTGGCACTTGCACCCTCCAATCCACTGTTACCTTTAAAAAAGTATAAATGCTGGAGTCAGAAAATAAACTCTTTCTTTTTCACCTTTGCAATAGTAGCAGCTTGTGTCATGCTTTCATGTGTCCTATACCGACAGAGGAAAACTTTGGAAAAGGGCCTGGAAGGACAGGACAAAGGGAAATGGCTTCAAAGAGACCAAGAGTAGGTTTAGATGGGAGACTGGGGAAAAATTCTTGGCTGTGAGGGTGGGCAGCTGGCATGGATTTCCCAGAGCAGCTGTGGCTGCCCCTGGATCCCTGGAAGTGTCCAAGTCTAGGCTGGACAGGGCTTGGAGAAACCTGAGATGTCCCTGGATGAGCTTTAATGCTCCCTTCAACCCAAAGCACTGCAGGATGCCATGAATGTGACTGTGCCCGGTGTCCCCCGGGCTGCGGGGGCTCCCCTGCACCTTGTTGATGTCGATGGTCTCCAGGGCCAGCTGCCGCAGCCGCTCCCGCCGGTCCCGGTTGCTCTCGGAGGCCGAGGCCACGCCCCCGCTGCCCGTTTTACCCCCGGGCCGGTGCTGGAAATCCATGCTGGGGATTTCTGGGCTTCAGCTCCTCCTGGAGAAATGGAGTCTGCCAAGAGGAAGGAGTGTCAGGGACAACTGAGCCACAGGACTCTTCAGCCGCAGCAGCGAGGGTGGGGGTGACACCCAGGCATGCCCCAGGCACACAGCACGGGATGCAATCCCACATGGAGCACATCCGGCACCACCGACCTGGGAAAGCCGAGTACGGATCCAGAAAATCCCCCCGGAGCCCTTCCCATCACCTCAGCCACTCCAAGCCCAGCTGGGCCCCACCAGAGGAGCCTTCCCCCCTCACCTGAGGTACCAACAGCCCCAGAGTTCCTCCCTGACCACCACCAGGTCTATGCTCCCCCACCACCCCCAAAGCCCCAGGGCCACCCCCAACACCAAGGGAGGGTCAGAGCCCCCCAAGCCCCCCAACAAGGTCAGGGGTTCTGAGCAATGTCCCCAAGCCCCAGGTGAGGTCCTGGAGTCCCCCCTGCCCTCAGCAAGGTCAGAGCCCTGCCTAGACCTCCCCACAGGGAGCCCAAACACTGGAAAGACCTTTGAGGAACCCCAAATCCTTCCCCACAGAGCACCCAGTTCTCCAGTGTCTCGTCCCCAGTCCCTCTCCAGCCACATCCCCCTGTAGCTTCAGTCCTGATTCAGCCAGTCAAGGCCCACTGACTCCCACTCAGGTGCTCTTCCCCATCCTCCCCACACTCCCCTGGCCCTACCCCAGTTTCCCATTCGTGATTCTCCAGCTCCCCCAGCCCCACCACCCCAGTTCTCCTAGTCCCTCCATTTCCAGCACCCTCAGTTTCTCCAGCACCCCCAGTCCTCCCACCCAGGGCACCCAGTTTCCCCAGTACTTTTCCAGTAGCTCCATCCCAGTTCTGCATTTGGCAACCTCCAGGTGCCTCCGTTCCTGCCCCGCTGATCCTCCCAGTAACCCAAATCCTGCCCTGGTGCTACCCTGGTTTCCCACTCGTGATTCTCCAGTTCCCCCAGCCTCACCACCCAGACCACCCAGCACTCCCAGTCCCTCCTCACCCAGTTCTCTCAATTCTTCCTTACCCAGCTCTCCCAGTCCCTCCTTCCCAGCTCTCCAGTCCCTCCTCACTCAGCATGCCAAGTCTCTCCATACTCCAAACTCCCAGTCCTTCTTCACCCAGTTCTCTCAATTCCTCCTCACCAAGCTCTCCTAGTCTCTCCATACCCAGATCTCCCAGTCTCTTCTCCCCCAGTTCTCTGAATCCTCCTCACCCAGCACTCCCAGTCCCTCCTCACCCAGTTCTCTCAATTCCCCTTCACCCAGCATTCCACATCTCTCCATACCCAGCTCTCCCAGTCTCTCCATACCCAGCATTTCCAGTCCCTCTTTCCCAGCTTTCCAGTCCCTCCTCACCCAGCATTTCCAGTTCCTCCTTTCCCAGTTCTCCCAGTCTCTTCTCTCCCAGCTTTTGCAATCCCTCCTTTCCCAGCTCTCCAGTCCTTCCTCACCCAGTTCTCAATTCCTGCTTCCCAGCTCTCCCAGTCTCTCCATACCCAGCATTCCCAGTCCCTCTCTTCCAGCTCTCCCAGTCTCTCCTCACGCAGCACTCCCAGTTGCCCAGCCCCGACTCCCCAGTTCCCCCAGTCCTGCCCCGTTCCCCCTCAGTCCCCCTCTCCCCTCAGCCCCCCTCTCCCCTCATGGCCCCTCTCCCCTCAGCTCCCCTCTCCCCCCTCTCCCCTCAGGGTCTCTCCCCGCTCCGAACCTGCGCGCGGCCTCGCTCCCGCCCCGGCGCCTGCGCGCTCCCGCGGCTCCGCGGTGTTTCCGGCCCGCCGAGGCCGTTCCGGCCCCGAAGCCGTTCCGGGCCCCGAAGCCGTTCCGGCCCCGAAGCCGTTCCGGGCCCCGAAGCCGTTCCGGGCCCCGGAGCCGTTCCGGGCCCCGAAGCCGTTCCGGGCCCGCCGAAGCCGTTCCGGGCCCGCCGAGGCCGTTCCGTGCCCCAGAGCCGTTCCGGGCCCCGGAGCCGTTCCGTGCCCCGGAGCCGTTCCGGGCCCCGAAGCCGTTCCGTGCCCCGGAGCCGTTCCGGGCCCCGAAGCCGTTCCGTGCCCCGGAGCCGTTCCGGGCCCCGAAGCCGTTCCGGGCCCGAAGCCGTTCCGTGCTCCGAAGCCGTTCCGGGCCCGAAGCCGTTCCGGGCCCCGGAGCCGTTCCGGGCGCTCTGAGGGCGCTTCCGGCGGCGCTGGGGCGGCCCGGGCGGGGCCGGGGCCGGGGCCGGGGCCCGCCATGCGCTACAACGAGCGGGAGCTGCTGTCCCTGGCCCGGCAGCCGGCCGAGAAAGCGGCCGAGATCCGCATGAGCGTCCCCAAGAAGGGCAGCGGTGAGCGGGATCCGCGCGGGGCGCAGCCGGGGCTGGGGTGCCGGGGCGGGAGCGCGGGGGGATCGGCGCTGCCTGAGGGGCCCCGAGCGGGGAGGCAGGGCTGGGACAGCGGGAGCGGTGTGCGAGGGGAGCTGCGGCGGTGGGGCTGAGGATACTGGGGAAACTGGGGCGGCTCCGAGCCGGGACTGGGCGAACTGGGAGTGCTGGGGGAGGCAGGGGAAGGTGGGACAGGACCGGCGGTACCTGGGGGGCAGAGTCGGGACTGGGGATACTGGGAGGGACTGGGAAGGTGCCGTGGGTGGTGGGGCTGGGGGAACTGGAGAATCACGAGTGGGAAACTGGGGTAGGACCAGGGAAGGGCTGAGGGTACTTGAGGGGCCCCGACTGCAGAATCAGAACTGGAGCTGCTGGGGGAAGAGGCTGGAGAGGGTCTGGGGGAGCTGGGTGGGAGGATTGAGGGTACTGGAGAATCCAGGCTGGGAAACCAGGGCAGGACTGGGAGTGCTGGGAGGCAGGGCTGGGGACAGGCAGGCTGGGAGGGCTGGAGTGTGGCAGTGGGGAGCACGAGTGCTGGGATCCAGTCTGGGCGTGCAGGGAGGTTCTGGGGCTGGGCTGGGGCCAGGGAGATCCCCCATTTCCAGGGGATCTGGGGAAGAAGGTCTTCCCTGAAATCTCCTAGAAAATTCCCCTGCAAACCAGCAGTGTTGTGCTCACTCCCTTGTCCTGAGCCTTTCGTCCTCTGAGCACCTGCTGGACTTTGTCCCGTGGGGGTGACGCCCGTGCTGGCAGCTCCAGGCAGGGCTCCCGGGATCCGGAGCTTTTCCTGGAGTGCCTGGAGCCCTGTGGTGCTGCTGCTGTGAGCTCTGACTGCCCGGGAGCTGCTCAGGGGCTTTGTCACCCTGAGGCCACTCAGACACTGTCACCCTGAGGGAGCAGCCTCGGGGGGTGCCTTGGTGGGGTCAGCGCCACGCTGGGCCCTGGCAGGGTGGGCAGGGCTCCCCTGCTCCCCGTGCCCCTGCCTCAGCCCTGCCCTGCTCCCTTGTGCCCCTGCAGTGCTGAAGAAGCGCCTGGTGAAGCTCGTGGTGAACTTTCTCTTCTACTTCCGCACCGATGAGGCTGAGGTAGGGATTGGGCCTCTGCGTGGGGTTTGTTCCCCTCCTCCTTTCTTCTTTTTCTATGCCTGGATTGTGTGGGCTGGGAAAATGGTGCATGGCAGAGCTGGAGCAGGGTCCACCTTCCATCAGTTCAGCAGGGCTCCAGGAGAGCTGGAGAGGGACTGGGGACAAGGCCTGGAGGGGACAGGACACAGGGAATGGCTCCCAATGCCAGAGGACACGGCTGGATGGGAGATTGGGCAGGAATTGTTCCTGGCAGGGTGGGCAGGCCCTGGCACAGGGTGCCCACCCTGGATCCCTGGCAGTGCCCAAGGCCAGGCTGGACAGGGCTTGGAGCAGCCTGGGATGGTGGAAGGTGTCCCTGCCATGGCAGGAGTGGCACTGGATGGGCTTTGAGATCTCTTCCAACCCAAAGAGTTGTATGAAATGCAAGATAAATCAGGTCTGCAATCCCTTCCCTGCTGCCTGATTTGCTTCTGACATGTTGGTTCACTTGGACAAGGATTTCTTGTGGTTGCTTTTGTTCATGGCCAATGTCACCTGCTGTCCCTGTGTCCCTGAGTAGTACCAGGTGGTTTTTTGGTCATCCTCAGCTGCTGCAGCTCTGCTCACACTTGCAAGGCTCCAGGACAGCCCTTGCATAGCTCAGTGTTGGTTATTCTGGGTGTCACAGTAAATGTTTCATCTTTGATTTTAAAAGCAAATGTTTTTCTCTGGTATCACAGAGTGGTTAAGACCAGGCTGAAACTGAGCCAGTAGAGATGATTGACACCTAATTAACAAATGCAAAGTGTTGCAGGTGAGACTGGCATGAAAAGGTGATTAAAGGAACATGAAATATGGTGCAATCAGAATGAATTATTCAAAAGCAGCACCAGCTTGTGAAAGTTGCTTAAAAGGCTCCAGGGAAGTACCGTGGGTTGAGCCCTCGTGGTGTTGGGGCCCCTGTGGGTTAAACCTTCTCTCCATGTGTTTTCAGCCCATTGGAGCTCTGCTGCTGGAGCACTGCAAGATCACCAAAGAGGAGGAGAACGTCTTCTCCATCAGTGAGTGCTGCCTGTGCACCCCTTTGCCTTCCCCTGGTGGGAAAGGGAATGCTGAATGCTCAGTTCTGCTTTCCCCTGTTTCCCTGGTGCAGTGGGGTCAGCTCAGCCCTTCCCCTCCTCGGTGGGGTCACTGCCTCCAGCCCTTCTCCTCTCCCTCAGTGGGGTCAGGGCCCTTCAGGTGGGGGTCAGGCTCTGCTCCCAGGGAACAGAGGACAAGACAAGAAGAAATGTCCTCCAGTTGTGCCCAGGACAGGTTTAGGTTGGATACTGGGGAAAATTTACTCACCACAAAGGTTTGGAAGTACTGGCACGGACTGCCCAGGGCAGTGGTGGAGTCCCCATCCCTGGGAGTGTTCAGGAGATCTGTGGATGTGGCACCTGGGGACAGGGGTGAGTGGTGAACCTGGTGGTGCTGAGCTGATGGTTGGACTTGATGGTCTTAAAGGCCATTTCCAACTTTACCAATTCCTCAACCTTTCCCCTCCTCAGGTGCCAGCTGTTCCTCACTGTGCCTGTGGCCATCCCGAGGAGAGCTCAGGGATATTCCATGGCACAGCCTGAGGGACTTGCACAGCTGCACGTGCAGAGCAGCACTAAGAGCAGCCAGGCCCCACTGCCTGCCTGTGGAATCTCTGGCAGGGGGAGCTTGGTTATTGACAGATCTGCTCTGTGCTGCTGCATTTTATCCAAAAAACACCCTAGAGAGGCTCAGATAAAGCTGCTCCAGCCCCATCCTCCCCTCTGTGCGTCCTTGTGCAGCGGCAGCTGGGCCAGCTCCCCTGGGAGCAGCCTTTCATCCCGCAGCTCTCCCCTCTGCCAGAGGTATGTGGCCACAATAACAGGATGTTTCTCCAAGGCCATCCCTGTATCTTTTGGCCTGGCTGCCAGGCACAGCTGTGGTTCTGCTCTGTGCTTCCAAAGGACCCACAAACTGCCTGAACACACTGAGCCTGGAGCACCATGTGCTGGATTTTGGGGCTTTAGGGATTTTGGGAGCTCTGGTGGAGGAGGATTCCTGAGCAGGGTTAAACCCAGCGGTACCTGGTGTTGGGATGTGTCCACAGCCCATCCCGAGGTGCTGGTGCAGCCTGACCCAGGTGCTTGGCAGCAGCAGCCCTGAGGGTCTGCTCAGCAGAGCTTTGGGGACAGGAACTGGTGGCATGTCCTGGCTCTGTCCTGGTCAAGAACTGGAGTGGCACCAGGACCTGCTCTCCATGGTGGGAGTACCATGTGAATACCACGTTCCCAAAAGCTTCCAGCAAAGGCAGCTCAGGGCCTTTTCCCAGTGCAGTTTAACTCCTCTGTTGGCTGCTCCCTGCAGGTATCCCAGTTCCTCTCTCAGGGCTGTTCCCACTTGGATTTAAATTCCTGGTGTCTTTGCAAGGGGCCTCAGGGAGTCAGTCCTGGATCTGGCCGTGCTGGTCCAGTTCAATTCACCCTCAGTTTGGGAAGCTGCTTTTCCTGAAGTCTCTGGCTGCTGTAAGCTGGGAAGTGCTGTGGGCAGCTGCCCCAGGCACCCAGAGCCACCCAGGCAATGGGAGAGGGGCTGGAGGTGGGGGCTGCAGACTCATTCCCACCTCATCTTCGTTAACAGAGCTGCTAATTGTGGCCTGGCAGAGTCTGGGGAGCACCAGCAGCTCTGCCAGGACCTGCCTGGAGCCTTTTCCTTGTCCCTGGCAGGTTTCATCGAGGAGCCAGAGAGGAAATACTGCTTTGAGTGTGCCACGGAGGAGCAGTGCCAGGAGTGGGTTGAGGCACTCAAGAGAGCCAGGTGGGCTGAGCCCTCGGAGCCAGGGCAGTGCTGGGGGCTCTGGGCTGTGTTCTGGGATCAGGAGCTGGGAGGGCAGTGCTTGTCTCCTCCCAGACGAGCTTCCCTCCAGCTCGAAATAGCATCTGAAACTTCCCCACATCCTTCTCTGCTCAGCCCTTCCCGTGCTCTGTTCCTGTCTTGCAGCTACGAGTTCCTGAGGAGGAGCCTGATTTTCTACAGGAACGAGATCCAGAAGATGACAGGGAAGGTGAGTGAGTCCCTGCAGCTCAGGTGTGGCTGATGGCTCTGGCTGGCAGCAGGGGCTGTTGCTGCCAGTCCTGCCCAGGCTGTGTGTGGGAAGGAGATTCCAGATCCCATAGGGAGCCATGGTCTCCACAGCCAGACCTGAAGACCTTCTCCTGGGTGCTCACCTAACTCTGATACACACTCTGATGCTGGAGTGGCCCAAGGTTTGGAGCTGGACAGGCGCAGAGCTGGAACAGTTCACACCTGGGCAGATCCATGGGTGGAGATGCTGCTCACCCCCTGCTCCAGGGAGGGACGTGGCTGTGGCTCCCCTGGACCTTGGCTCCCTGCTGTGTCCTGTGTGTCCCAAGGGCTGCTGGGCTTTGTCTGCATCTCACTGGTGCCTCCCTGTGCTCCCCCACAGGACCCCCTGGAGCAGTATGGGATCTCTGAGGAAGCTCGTTTCCAGCTGGGAGCACACAGGCAGTGACCTCACCTGGCTCCTGGCTCCATCCCAGCAGGACAGCAGCTCCCCACTGTGACCACGTGACTTTTTTATTTATTACCCCAATGTTTTGTATTTTTTTTTAAGGGAATTCGTTGCACATTCCTGGTGCCCCAGCCTGGGGGGCTGAGCTGCTCCATGGATGCTGCAGTGGGAGCAGAGCCCCCAGCCCTGGCATGGGCAGGGGCAGGGGCAGGGGCTGACACAGCTCCCAGCACCTGCTCTCCTCCAGGCTGTGCTGGGGCCACCCGGGCCAGCTCCACCCTTCTGCTCAGCTTCCCTGGCTCAGGATCCTCTGCAGTCTCCCAGGAGCCATCCCAGGCTCATCCCTGGCTGTAAGAGGATGTGACTGATGCATTTCTAGCTCCAAATTAACCCCCTCCTGCCCCTCCAGAGAAGAGCCAGCTCAGCCACAGCTCCAGCTGATGGAGAGGGACATCAGCCCTGTGCAGCCACAGCCTTTTGGGGTCTTCTTTTCCCTCCACTGGGCAGGTGCTGGCATTCCTGGGGGCTGGATAAGCCCATCCAAAAGAACAAAGCTGCAGAGCACGAGGGAACAAAGACAGGGAGAGATCCCTGTGTGATCCTGCCTGTCTGCAGAGCTCTGCAGTGATCCAGCTTCCCAGGGAGGAGAGGCAGATGGAGAAGCTGGCAAAGGCAGGAGCTGCTCCCTTTGGCTGGAGGATGGAGCTGCACGACATGCACCAGCTCAGCCAGGCATTAACCCTTCATTCCCTGAGCCACTGCTGCAGCTTTTCTCCCCTCTGTGTGTTCCCTTTGTCCAAAGGGACAGACCAAAAAACTGTGCCAAGGTCACAGTGAGCTGCCAGGGAACCAGGGCTGCCTGTCCTGGAGCTCCTGCAGGGAAGAGATAAGGATTAGGAACAACACCCCCACAGGACCCGCCCTGGCTCTGGCTGCACCAAGGAAAACTGCCCAGACATGGGGGATGGAGGACACTCCCCACACCCAGGGCTGCAGCAGACCCAGATTCTTGACTGCCAGAGCAGCTTCCCTGGAACCAGCCTGGGAAAACTCCCAGGAAAGGCCTCGGGGAAGGTCCCAGGAGTCACTGTCAGAGGCTGCTGGCAGCAGGAATGGGGCTGGGGCTGGGGCAGGGCAGGGGCTTGGCCCAGGCTTTGGGGGCTGCAGCTCTGGATGTTGTTCCCCTCCAGCTGCCCAGCCCAGGGAAGGGGTGGAGCAGCCTCTGAGCTGGGTTTGAAGGGAATTTTGGGGTCTTTTTCTCCTTGGCTGAGAATTAATGTCCAAACCAGAGGCTACACTGCAGCCTTTGGCATCCTGATGGTTCCCTCTTTACCTCATGCAGCTAAGTACCAATAGTGACAACTGTCACTGATGCTTTAGTTTTTATCTCAAAGCTGAGATTTTTCCATTTTTCCTCCCCAAATACTCCCTTTTCCTTGAATCATTCCAGGTGCTTGCTCCAGAAATTACCAAAATCAGCTGTCCTGGGGGATCAGCCGAGGGCAGCAGGGAGGGAGCAGAATCCAGGGGGGGTTGCAGACAGATGGCAGCTCCAGGGGAAGCAGCAGCAAGGGATTAAGAGCAGGAACACACAGGACCTGTGCTTTAGGGAATCAGTATCCTTGGATGACTCCAAAGGGCATTTTAATCCTGCCCAGCCTGCAGTTTTACAAAGCAGAGCTGAGTTCTCAGCTGGGCACCACCACTGTAGCAAATGTGTCACCTGTGCCTTGCAGGACTCGGTGGCCTCCTCGCTGGACACCTTTTCCCAGGTGGAGCTGCCACCCTCCAGTGTCACTGTGCAGAAAATGGTGTTTTATTTGCTGTTCCAGGGAACAGTTGGGTGAGCAAGAGCAAAGCCCAACACGGATTTGAATGTTCATCACCAATGACATTTCCTAACTGAATGTACAACAAAAGCTGTGAAGAGTTGCCAGGGCCAGGCCAGGCCCAGGGACTCAGATCCATGTAGGGCAGGGCTGGGACACGGGGTGGGATTTAGGGAGGGAGGATGGTACTTTGTAGATACTTTGAAATTTGCATCAACTGTCGGCGATTTATAGACAATTGCTCATTTTTCACATTCTGATGACTTTGCTTGTTGTGTTTCAGCTAGAGCCAGCTCTAGGCTCCCTGAAAGCCATTCTGTGTTGTACAGTGAACATTCCCAATAAATCCTGTTTTAATCTTTGTGATGGTCAGAATTGTTCTACAACACCAAAACCTCCCTGGGAGGGGTGGCTGGAGCCAGCTCGGGGCCTGCCCAGGGGCACCAGGGGTGGTTCCTGCTCAGGACCCTGCTGGAGATGGCTCCACCAGGGGCTTTGGAGAGGCTTTTTCAGACAATCAGAGAATAATCTGGGTTGGAAGGAACCTTTAAAGGTCAGCTAATCCAGCTGGTGCTGGAGCCAGGCCAGTGGCAGGTGACAAACCTGTGTAGGAAGAGGAGCTGGGTCAGGCTGTGGCCCGGCAGAGCCAGGGGCTGGGGGCTCTGGGTGAACCTGGGGCTGTGTCTCATTTAAAACCCAGCAGGGAATTGGCTCAGGAAGTGTTTGTGGCATCCAGCTCTGAGGTTTAAACACATCCCTGGATGCCTGTGGAGTTGCTGCACTGATGCCACTGCTGGCTAAAAGGGAGCAAAGCTTGGATGGGTTGGGAATCATGGAAGTTGGTCGGAAAAGACCTTTAAAAAGATCAAGTCCAACATGACCCAGCACTGCCATGGCCATCGCCGCCCTTGTCCCCAGGTGCCACATCCAACACTCCAGGGGCTGGTGACTCCAGCACTGCCCTGGGCAGCCCCTTCCAGTGCCTCACAAACCTTTCTGTGAGGAAATGTTCCCAATTTCCAACCTCAACCTCCCTGGCCCAGCCTGAGGCTGTTCCCTCTCCTCCTGTCCCTGTTCCCTGGAGCAGAGCCCAGCCTCCCCAGCTGTCCCCTCCTGTCAGGAGCTGTGCAGAGCCACAGGGTCCCCCCTGATCCCCCTTTTTTCCAGGCTGAGCCCTTTTCCCATCTCCCTCAGCCTCTCCTGGTGCTCCAGCCCCTTCCCCAGCTCTGCCCCTGCCCTGGGCACGCTCCAGCCCCTCAGTGTCCCTTGACGGGCTCAGAGCTGTCCCCAGGCCCTCTGTCCCTCCCCAGTGCCCAGCACAGCGTCCCCAACCCTCAGGGCTGAAGGTGCTGCGGGGTTCAGGCATCTCTGTCCCTCTGTGCCCCCACAAAATCCCCAAATCCCAACTCCCTCCTCATTCCTGCTGAGGCAGTGAAAGTCCACACAAGCTCGGTGTATTAAAATACAGACACTTTAATATAAAGACAAAACTTCAAAGCATCGTTTCAATTACAAATCAAGGGAGACACAAGAAATTAAGTGGAGGGAGGGGAGCAAAAACTAACTCTTACATTGTGGAGAATTAGAAAGGCCGGGTGGAAATATATATATTATACATACATATATACACACCAGAATTCACACAACTGCTAGGCAGGAATGAAAGAAAAGACAGAAAAACTTACCAGTAAAAAAAAAAAAAAAAAAAAAAAAAAAAAAAAAAAAAAAAAAAAAAAAAAAAAAAAAAAAAAAAGATAAATTAGGGGAAGTTTGAATTTTAAATAATTCAGTTTAATAGGCTAAACTATATAAACTAATTCCTATTCACTAGGAAACATCCCATATCACTGTCCTAAGAAAATGGGTTTTTCTAAAAATCCATTGAAAAATGGATTTTTATTAGTAGTTAAAAGTTTACTAATCAATTCCTGAGCAACAGCAACCTCATCATCTACTGCTTTCCCCATCCAAGTCCCACTCAGCGAGGGCAGGCTCTCACTCCTAAAAAGTTTAAGTAGAACAGAGACCTAAAAAGTTGGGTTTTAATCGGAAATTGATCACTTCAAAGATTAATAGATTAAAAAAGCCAAGCAGGATGGATCAACCCATTCCATCTTTTCTTCAATAACTCCAGAGACAAAAACCTTTTAAAAAATTATTTGACTGCACCAGAAAAGCAACCAGATGTACCTCAAGAAAACCAAAGGATCACAAACATGAGAACTTCAGGGTTAGCATTGTCAAACTTGGAATTTTCAGATGTGATTTTGTTTTTACACCATAAAGAATTCAAGGAGCCTCTTTAGGAAGAAGGTCCCAAACAGTAAAAGTACTGGAGAATTATTTCCCAATTTTTTTTGTCTCAAGTTTAAACCCTGAAGTTCCCAATAACAGCATCTTTCAATGCAATATTCAGTCTAAATATATATTTATATATTTATAATGTATAAGGATAAATAAAATATGGCACAACAACATTTTGAAACAGCTTTTAGTGAAAACCTGATCCGCACATGGAGCGGAAAATGGAAATGGAGCAAAAAAAAAAAGAAAAAAACCCTTTAAAACCAGTAAGACTTTAAATATTCATACACTGACTGCACATCTCTACTCCCAAAATTCCAATTCCTGTGATTTTTCCTCAGTGCTGCAAAGATAGTTCACAAAAACACTGTGTAGTTTCTGCTCCCCAAAAGCATTTTGGGTTCACAGCCCCGTCCGAGGCCCTCCCCTGCTCCCAGTCCTTAATCCTCTCTGTGCTTTTGGCTCAGGCAAAACAAGAAAAGCAGAATTTTCCACGCCTGGGAGTTGGGATCATTGCAGGGTGGAGTTACCCAGGACAAAACACACAGAGACCCCTCGGGTTTGCAGAGGGTGAATCCCAGCACCGAATCAAAGGGGTCCCACAGGAGCCACCTTGGGCCAGCACAGGCAGCCCCGGGGAGCTGCATCCCTGCTGAGGAGGGGAGGAAGGGCCCAGGGAAGGCTGAGCAGGGAGGGGAATCACCACAGCAGCCTGAGAGCAGCTCAAGCTGGAGGGGACCAGGGAACCAGAGCATCCCGAGGGCACAGATCCCACAGACCCCACAGCTCCCGGTGCCAAGGTGGGCACTGCAGGGCTCGGAGGAGCTGCAAGCGCCGGCTGTGCCCTCCCTGAGCCCGGGCTGGGTGTCCCCAGCAGCTCTGCACGCTGGGACTGTCCCTGCCCCCAGTCCCTCGGCCTCTCCTCTGCCTGGACTGTCGTCCAAATGGGA